CAGCGATAAGCGGCTACCTACAAACTCGTAACGAACGCTGTCACTCTATCCATTGCAGTATCGTAAATCGTATCTATCGAACATCAGAACTCGCATTATCGTAAACCAGTCGTCGTATCGTTCATCGAAATCCGTAACGTACAATTCTCAGCTTGGCTTCAGCTGGCATAGTTGAATTGTCATTTAAATGTATCACGTAGGAGCAAGATATCAGCACATCGATTCGCATCAGCGCCTAACAAACTGATTTTCGGCTGTGAAAATCCATCACATTTTCTTTTCTTCAAGTTGCCATTCCACTGTCCGTTTTACAGTTCTTTATCGTTCGTGCAGTTCATATGTGCATATCATAAAAGTGATGTTTGTTCAATATCTTGCAGTGTTGTTCTTTCATTTTCTATTCTTTATTTTAACCCCTTACCTCGTAATATCGTGTCAGACTTGTGTCGAAGATTTCAAATATATTTTAACAAACACCAATACCATTCAATTCGTTTGTGTTCAAATGGAACATTATTTTTCTTGTTAGTAATTCGTATAGATTAGAGTAAAAGACATAGGAAAATCATGGAATTTTCTGTCTTTTTAATAACTATTAACGATCAATAATTCAAATAAATATAACTGCGAAATTAAATTTGAGAAAGTGGTTGATAGTATCACTAGTTATTTCATCCATTCTTGATATTGCAAACGATCTTCGTATTATTTTCAAAATCATTTCGAATATTGAATACTTTGAAATATGAATAATTGCATAATAAGAAAAATAAAACCCGTCATTCTAAGGGGTACGGTAGTTCTAGTGGTAAACAGGAAGTTATAAGACCAGAGAAAATTTGTTACACCTCGCGTCAACCTCCTTATTTTCGATCGATATAACAGCATTGTTCAAAATTATCGTCAATAGGCAACGCTTACTAACTCAGTAACTTCGCTTCCTCTCACAGTCTACACAGGAAATTGCATAAAGATTCGTTATTCAAAGACACTGACCCGTAAATTATATACGTATGGTTTCTTTTGCACTGCAGGTGGGCCTGCGACACGCCAATTACCATTGAAAAGGGTACGACCAGTACCGTTCCCTTTGCAAAACAAAACTATTACTTTCTTAAAAAAAATTCTTTAAAGACAAACTTTACCAATAAATGCTACAAAAGTATTCGGTACGTGTATTTCATAAAAAGAAAATCAAATTTCGCAAACCTGCGTATAAAAATTGGTAGTGTTCAGGAAAGTCCAATGTTTACATGGATCGCTTGTTAACTACAGGTTACTGTCTTTAAAAGTTGAAATGTAAACTGAATGTATATTTGTCTTACACTGAAACATTTCTTTTGAATTTAAAATTTATCTTCCTACACGTATACACGAAAGATTATACAATTTTTTCGAAAAGTTTCGCAGGAAGGAAGGAACTGTAGAAACACTAAATATATTGAATGTGCCTTTTTTTGTCGCGAAGTGTATATAAAATACCGTTGCATTTAACAGTAATATAATAATAAATATTTTCGACTACCTGTTAATATGGAAAAATGATTACTCAGTTATTTCATGCCAAATCAATCACTTTTTGTCACTGATAATATCAGACAGGTTTTTAAAATAAAATATGATATGGTGCATGTGAAATTTCAGAAAAAGGGGTTGGAAACTTTTGGTAGAATTAACTGGAATTAATCTTTCATTTAATGAGGTAGATTTTAGCCATTACAATAATTTCTTTATATCGAAAAATTAACTTTGTAATATCGAAATTTAGAAACAACTTTTTATTTCGTATACCTTACTTCTAAAATAATTTCACCTTCGAAAATATTTTTCATCGCCGAAACGAAATTCAATATTTATTTCCGTCGGTCTCTGCTGTTTGTGTTTATATTCTGTATTCTGTAAGTAAGAAACATCTGCATTTCAAAATTAGATACCATTTGATTTAAATGCAAGTGTCTCTTCGACTAAAAACAGTTTACTGCAATTTGAAACTAAGTTTTAAACTAAAACAATAGTATATAAGTGTATTATGTATATGCTAATGTTATGAATTGCATTATTCAGAACAATAAATCAATTTCAATGTCCGGGTCAATGAAACTTCACTTAACCTTCCCACCATGAACGTCACATGAAATATTTGATCCATGAATGCTCTTGACCTTGTATTAAACTTTAAACGACGTCTATCAGTCGAAATAAGATTAAGTTCTCTAATGAAATACAAATATATTTATTGATAAACGTATTTTTGGCTGCTTACCACTATGAAATCTTCCAGAACTCGTAATGCTTAACAATTAATTTTTATATTTAAAAGTAATGTTTTAATAGTGATATTAATTCCAAAGTTTTTATTAAATTATTTTTAGTGTATGTTAAATCATAGTGTCCATTAAGTTTTTAAGCAGCTTTACTTGCATCAAAATCGTCAAAAAAAACGTTAAAGTTCTAGTCAAATGTCATTTCAATTTATCATCTACAATTTATAATTAATCTATTACTAACAAATTGGAGTTACGTAAAACAATAAACTTTTTACGTAATTAATTAATTAATTAATTTCAATTTTAATAAGTAACTAATTACTTAATTTTAATAAATTATATCAAGAGAAATAAATATTTTATAACAGATAAATTTCATTTGAATCAGTCATATCGGTAATATTTAATATCAATAATCCTTAATCAGTAATATTTCACAGTACAAAGATTATTATTTGTCATGCAAACAGAAATCTCTATTAATAATTCTTACCGAGAGAAACGTAATGATGGATTTTTATACGTTTAAAGTTTTAAAAGTAAATTCGGGATTTCATGCCTCGTCACAATCTCGGAAATCTAAGACTGAGTAAATTACAGTACAGTTTCAATTACTATCTGCAGACAACGAAAAAACTCCGCAAAGTAGTATAAGGTAACAACTTTCATTGTTTTTAATATTCTCTTCAACTTATTCAAACTATTTATACGGAAAATAAAGTTCTAGTTAATCTAAGTTTGTGGTTGCGTTAAGTTAAAAGCGGTTCAACGCCTCAAATCAAATAATCAGATATACTGCTCAGTAATATTGATACTTTATGTAAGTACTAATGTTACCTAATAAAAGACTATAATTAAAAAAAAATATGTCTATAAATTATTATCATTTTTTATAACGTTCTATCATTATATGCTATTAAAAGAGAGTTGCCTAAATCGTTTTCATTTGAAATTCGATAAAAATTATTTCATATCGAATATAACAACTTCAGGTGGTAATATGTAATATATAATAATAACAAAAGTAACATAGAGTAAGAATTAGTAAAATAATGTATTCAATAAATAATTGAGGCACTTAAAGAAAAAAAGATAAATCTGATACAACGTTTATCGATTATTTAATAATTAGTAACTAGACTACTGACCTTTATGCAAATTCAAATCTTTGAGAACATAATTGGGACAGTAGAATTTTAAAATAGAAAATAGCTTTTTCTAACAAGTATTATAAAAAGTACTACACACTGGATATTTTCAGTACTTTTTCCGCTGAAATTTACACTTTCAAATTTCCCATAATTCCATAAAGATCCGCAATCTATTAACACTACTTTTACTGCTTTTGTACATACCTGTTTATACCAAAAGGAAATTTAATAAAATCTAAAATAAATAGACGTAAATACCAATAAATAGTTTTGTTTCCAAATAAATAAATACATAGATGTCAATACTAATAAGTAGTTTCATTTTAACAAATAAACAATTAAGTAAACATGAACGATAATAAATAGTTTTATTTTCATATTATGTCTCCTATTATTCTCAGTCAAAATACTAGCTTTGAAAGTATATAAAATAGATACTTAATTGCCCAGGGCTTAATCAATCAAATTGTTAAAGTGAAGAGTTCCCTCGTCATTTTACATATTTTCACAGTATAAAGAATATTACTGGAAAGTCTCAAAAGCTCGAAACGCTTTAAAGTACGATGTAAATGGTTCGATTTCGGCAACTCTCATTTAGATAATGATATTTGAATTGATTAATTCCACCAATAGCTTCAACTCTATCCATCGGCGATCAGAAGCGAATTTAAAGTCTTCCACGATGATTTTACTCACTGACACATTCTCCGTGTTTCTGCCCGTCCCATGTGCCGTTTGACCGACAAGTTAATTCGTATTCTCCGTGAAGGCGAAACCCATAGGGACACTTCAAGAAACACTTGGTACCCGGACGGTTGATTGCACTTCGCCTACCCCTCCACGACTTAGGTGTTGCCGAACGAGAACACATTAAATACCCTCGACCCTCCGGATTTAGGAGCGGGCAGGACACGTTATTTACATCTGAGAAGATAAATAAAAATAAATCACCTCGTTTGTCATACGTCGATATCATGAAAGAAAAAAATACATTAACCCTTTGCACTCGAGAGGAGATTTTCAGTCACCATTTGATTTGATACAATAAAATTACAAACTGTTATAAATAATATTAAGTTTTGTATAATGCATCGGTACATGAAATATTTATATAAAATAGCTTTGTCTCTTAATTTACGTGTGTTTTCTCATTAGTTCGTTTCAAACAATGTCGTCTATGTCTTATCGGAATGTGTCGAATGTTTCTAGCGAAAAGCTTCCGGGTGCAAAGGGTTGATTGATTAAAAGAATGGCATATATGAAATAAAAACAGAAAACTGGGATACGGTAACCAATGTGCAATTCGCTAATAGCGTGAGTTCGTTATTTATTCTGCGCAAAGTTGCATGTCTTATAATCAATAAAACTGAACAATATCATTTTACTTACTTATGCATTTTATTTACGATTTCAATGATTGAATGAAAATGATATAGACACCGCCGGGAATCTGACAAAGAAATGTGTTGAATAAACGGTTCCTTTGTAAAGAGAGATGTAAAACGAATGTAAAGCACTTAGTCGACTACGATTAGTGTAAAAGAATTCTAAAAAGTTGGTCGTTAAAGAAAATTGAATTGAGAATTTTGAATTCTTTTAACTCTTCCAAATGACGCTACGTATTATTGAGTTTATGTTATTGAAACTGACGTGGAAACCAGATTAGCAGTCTTTGAAATCCTCTATATTATAATTTGTAGTCGACCGAGGGCTAATTAATATTTCTTCAAATATTGATTAATTATAATTTATTTTTATCACATTACAAGAAATGCTCGAAAAATTATGATGACAATCGCATAAAACATTTTGCATATTGCATAGAAAGATTTCCTTAATATCGACGTTGAAAACAATCAAAATTCAACAGTGTCATAATATCATAAATTCAAAAATCCAAGAGGCAACGATTGAAGCACGTACAAGCGATCACATGCCCAAGCTTTCACCATTTTTTTTCGAGCGATACGACTCGCATATATCAATCATTGATATTATACCATAAATCGTTTATATCCAATCACAGCTGACTAGGCTCTCGTGGGCACGTATGGAGATACGCGTTTAAGAGGGAATGTTATCCATCCATCGTTATTAACACTAAACGTACCGTGACCGGTTGAATGACCCGATTTTAAAATTTGATTTAAAATTCTGCGTTTTCTTTCGTTCGTCTAACCCTTTCCGGTGCGATTTAATCATGAAAAATTGTGCATGACAGAAGCATTTTATTTTTATTAAAGAAAACAACGTGTTCTATTTTACGATTCATTCATAATCATATTTTAAAAGTAATCTGGCAAGGTGCTACTATGTAACAATCATGGCAATTTATTCTCAATTAGGAACTTCACAAATTTTGTACATGTAAAACCATGTTACCTGTAACTTTGGTCATTTGACGAGCGCGGCTTTCTCCTACAATTTTATAACCATTTATTTGACTGGTGTTTAGGTGTATATTAGATTAGCAAGAAAGTTTTGTTGTTTTTTAGGGAAAATTCAATTTTATATATATATATAAAACATATATTTAAAAAGGAAAATTAATGAATGATATATAGGTCATTGTTTTCTAAAACTTTTATCCATCTATTAACAAGGTTATGTATGGTGACAACCCTATCATGTGATTATAAAAAAAGAATAAAAACCACTTTGTACCGTACGCACTTCAACTTTAGATGATCCAAAAACAGAGCATACATTTTTATGAACTTCCATGCCGGTATGCCCAAGTTGGAACTTATAAAGCATAAAGCGCCAGAAATGAATTTTATCTTTATTCATAATACATATTTGTTTTTCAAAATTTGAAAATCAAGAAAATCTCTAAACGAATCTTTGCGTCGTACATACAAATGTGACACATGGTTACGAATTCAAAATCGAAATATTGCAGGAAAAACTTTTATCTCATACTTTTTTCGTATTTCTTCATAATTTACACTCTCTCGTGTATTCTTTATCTATTTCTTGTTCTCCGTTACAGACACCCGCTGTTGAAAAAGGA